GCGGGGGTGAGCAGGAGAGGTGGGGAGAGGCGGGGCTATGATCATTTAGGGCGTACACACGGTGCCGCAAGCGTTACGTTACCAGACCTTCCCACTTTCGGATGCGTTTGAGGGCTCCGTTTCCGCTGTTCCATTAGGGCCTCGTGTGGACAAACCTTCCATACGATAAAGAACTATAGCAGATAACACCCGTTTCGTCTCCGTGTGGACGGGGCCTAAGACTTCACATATATGTGCTTCAGTTAATAGGTAGTTAAAGCAATCACATAATAAAATAAAATAACGGTTTCAATGATAATAATGGTTGCTAAAGCTTAATTGGGAAATGAGTGAGAGATTTTCCATCACCTATATGGGTGAAAAGTAATTACAGTCAGTGTAGCTCAGACCTCCTTCCACTCCTTTTTTGGAACCACCCTGGAGACAGCCTTGACCCTTGTTTTGCATCTTTCTAGCTCAGGTGAGAAGTAGCGTCAGTGGAAAAGGGTATCCAGCTGACGCCTGAGCAGAGGTTATTATGGGTTATTTCCATGGGCTAGACTTTAAGGACGTCCCATGTTAAGAAAGCGTTACGCCTAGCAAAGATTAGGGATAAGAGGTCTCACACTGTTCGAAATTGATATTCCACAAATCTTATAATTTGTTTTGGAGTGTCTTGAAAATACCTAAATTAATGAGTTAATGTTCTTAACTTTTGTTCACAGAGCTAACTGAAAATACGCTACATTTTTATTTTACATAGTCTCTGCATATTATATAACTGCCTGCATTAAACTGTTCTCAGTGTCCCCAATGTTATATATATTCGAGTAATGAATTGTTAGTTTATAGACGATCTTTGTACTTGAGTAACTGCATTGGCCAATGAGACTTCTCGGGGGCGTGGATTTCCGGCGGTCTGGTGCGGTCACAGTGCAGAGTGGGCGTTTCTCTCCTACTCTAGCTCATACATGACTTCAGGACTACCGTTACACAAGTTGGGAGACAAGTGGTGAGATAACAGTCGCAGTCCGTAGAGAAAGATGACGGAAAGCTCCGCGAATAAGCTGCTAAACGGGGACGCCTGTCACCGAACCTCAAACGGTAAAAGGTCGAGTAAAAATGGCTTCGTGAAGAACCACTGTGTGTTTCAGCAGCCACAGAAGTACCGTCGCCCCAGGGAGAAGGTAAGGCCCAACACTCAGGGGGGTAAACAGCAATGGATGTGTTCGTTAACTCTGCAATAGTTTGAATGAAAAATAATGCTAGCTAATATTCTAATAATGTCTTTATCCCCCAATGTTATCCTTCGACTTCACATTGTTGTTTTGAATATGTTTGCACACAGAAAGTGTGACCCTACAGCACCTCATTAGAAAACTGTGTAACATAAGCTTGCTAATGTTTATGAATTGCTATGTTCTACATTACAGCCATATTACAAATTAGTAGACCCCTATTACACCCATGTTACACCGTTATTACACCCAGGTAACACACATTACACTGTTATTAGAACCATATTATGCTCAAGTAAAAGCAATATTACACCTATATTATACTGTTATGAGACCCACATTACACCCATGTAACTCCAATATTACACCCATATTACACCCATTTTACACATGGCCTGTCAAATGCCTGTATCCCCCAGGATACAGAACCCATTGAAGGGTTAACGCCTGTCTAGCATTTTGTCCTACCCTCGCAACTTGTCCCAATGCGACATTTTTTAAAGTGGCTGTTACCAATTGCAACCCAGAACTACATTACTCACACTTACATTTTAATTACATGACTTTCGAAATTCTGATTTTGATTACATTGTGGTTTTAAAACCAAATGATATACCCTGTAACCGGTTTTATGTGCTATGAAAGGTGCACTTCCCTATGCGTTTTATACTTCTTCTTTTGTGGTACCTGTCACCTGATCAGGGATGATTGTGACTTTTTGTTGTAACCTTACACTCTGTTGTTTCTCTGTGTGTGTGTGTGTGTGTGTGTGTGTGTGTGTGTGTGTGTGTGTGTGTGTGTGTGTGTGTGTGTGTGTGTGTGTGTGTGTGTGTGTGTGTGTGTGTGTGTGTGAAGTCAGTTTGGTCTCTGTTTACACTGACTCCAGTGTGAAGAAGAGCAGGGCCCTGTTGTGTTATTATCACCAGAGAAGCTGACTCTCTGTCTCCTGGGAAAGGAGGGGGGATGTAGAGCAGAGCCGGCTTCCTCATGACACTCAAGCAGGAGTGGAATGTCTCCAGGCAATGAAGGGTGTGGTCCCCCCTCACAGTTTTGAATGAAAACACAGTGTGTGTGTGTGTGTGTGTGTGTGTGTGTGTGTGTGTGTGTGTGTGTGTGTGTGTGTGTGTGTGTGTGTGTGTGTGTGTGTGTGTGTGTGTGTGTGTGTGTGTGCGCAGTGATGGAGGTGGGTTACACACACACATGACTTTTGTTTTGCTTTTTTGTTGATGTTTTGGTTGAAAACAGACAAGTAATTTAAAAAGCACTTATACTAAACAAAATGCATCTCTCTTATATATGAGAATATCAAATAGTATTTGTGTTGAAATCAGCATATAAGCTGCAGTATTGCTGATTTCAACATAAAGTCAATTAGGTCCAGATGCTTTGGCTGACACCAATAACATTATTTTGCAAATAGTGTCTCCACCCTGCCGGACAGAGCTGCATGTCACATATTTGTCTTATTCCAAGAAGAAACGGGGAACTACTTACTAAAATTGAGAGTGTCCCTAGTAGGTAGCTTTCGCATGTACAAAGCAGGCGATGCACTCAAATTCTATTTCTCTATCTGTTTCACCTGGGGAGAATGTCTGTTTATTCCAAATGTGAAGTAATCGTGGGCACAACTTATGACTGATTCCCCCGCCCCATAGTCTGCATATGGAAAATATTTGAAATTTGTTCCCACGTCACATATCTTTCGAAAGTTATGACACTTAAATGGCATTTTTTAAATGGGTAAACCACTTTGCTCAAGTCTGACTTGTCTGTCACTATCTAAGCTTACTAATACTTTAGACTGCACCCACGTAGGAGATATAAATGGTACAGCATTTATACCTGATTGGCGCTGTTTGTTATACTTCATCTTTACTTATAGAGCATCTTTGACACCATGCAAATCATTTACCAGTCTTTGCGAGGTTAGTCATGCTCAGGATCGATATCACCACAGTAAAAGTGACATCACCCTGTTGTGATATGGGCTCTGCCAGTTCTTGATAAGGCAACTGACACTTGACTTCAACGTACTTAAGCCTTTGTTTGCAAGAGGAACCAGGGTGTGTAACAAGGGTGTGTTTCTTGAGGCTGTGCCTTAAGTGTTTCTCAGATGAGCAAATAAAACGTCTGTCTAAAAACTCTTACTCACAAGTAACGACTTTAGAAGGAGTGTATATGCAAGGAACCAATAATTACATTGATGTATGTTAAAGGTTGGTTCCTAACCTGCCCTGAAATAACATTTAAAACAAATGAAAATACATAGCCTAGCTTACCGTATCGCAATATTTTAAATTGTATAACCCTGTATCATGATAGCTGATTTTCTTCCATTACACATCGCTACTATTTAGACCTTTTTACAATATTTCGGAGTCTCTTTGACAAATCAGCTATAAATGTTCTCCTAGGTTTGTGTCCATTGCTGGAAAAGTAATATTTCCTTATCAAGCTAGACATAATCCCAATATTGAGTATAAAGTATATATTTTATTTAGATTAAAGAAGAAACTCTCTCTCTAATGGCTTTCAGTTAGGATTGTAGTGTCAATATTTCTCAGTAAAATGTAGGCAAAATTGAACATGGTACTATTTTGGCTGGCAGGTAGAGGACTTACTCCCTTATTTACCTACTCTTAGGCCAAATGCAAAACATACACACTATGCCCGAAGCTTTCCTGTTACCACTATAGTGTAATACGATCATCATCTATTGAATTGCAGAGCATTTTTCCACAGCGTTTACCTCAGGTCAGGTCTTCCTCTCCTCGCTCCCTGTTTGTCCACAGGTATAAATGATTTAGCAAATATGACGTCAGTTAACCTGCATTTTGCCGCTGTGGTCGGCATCAGTATGCAACAGTCTCTTTGAACAGTGTTTTTGTGCTCAATGTTTGACATCTCCCAAACCTCCAGGTCCCTTCAAAGTTTTTCTTTACTTGGGAATATGGGACTGGTTGGACTGGTTTTAGACCCACACACAAAGTGCAGCGCTCTCCTGTTCCCTGGTATTTCTTGGAGGAGCATGACCGGTCACATGAGGCCTGGTTGCTAAGCAGCGGGGCACAGCCTGTAATGAGTAACCGCCCTCATTTGTTTAATGCTGCTTTTGTAGACAGCCGTTCCACAGTGCACTCCCAAATGATGCTCGTATTTTTTTTATTTCAGCTTTTTTGAGCTCCTCTAGTGTGTGACCATATTTATAGGATCCCATAATCCACGATCGATATTTCTATTCATAAAACTTGATGAATTAGAACCATGGATTGATGGTTATGTTCCTGCTCACTGAGCTGTAAAGTCATGGTTAGGTCCGTCTCTGTGAATTCATGTGCTTATTGTAGCCTTTATTAGGTTTCTAACTCTTTCCAAGGGAAACACATTATACACACTGCTGTCCACTAGTGAGTGTTTGTCCAGATCACAATCACAATTTATTGGGCTCTCTTGTAGGGCAGCTTTAACGAGTAAACAGACTTAGATCATAGGTACACCATTACCCATTAAAGAAGAACCCACCAGATGCTTGACTTCTAAATATGTGCCCTTGCCTCAATTGTTATCTTTATTCCCCCCCAGAACCAAAATGTCACACGCAACTCCAGCCTGTACAAGAAGCCTTTCTCGGAATCGTTTGAGGAGACGCCCCTTGTGGTGGCCGTGCTCACCTACATGGGCTACGGCATCCTCACCGTCTTCGGCTACCTCAGAGACTTCCTTCGCTACTGGAGCATGGAGAAGTGCAACGTGGCTCAGGAGAAGGAGGAGCAGAAGGTAAAGTAGACCCCATTGCATGCAAATGCAGATTTAAGTGACTTGTGAAGGTATTCAAGATCATTCACTCACTGAGGACCTGAAACCATGGCTTTGGTCTGTCAAATTCATGTAGCCTTTTTTTATTTTGAGAGTTGTAGCTCACCTGCAGTTTTGGGACTTTGTTCCTGATGTATGGTGCATAAAAACTGATACTTCAATAACGCTTGTCTGACTGATCCTCGAAAAGAACTGTTGTACAAGTAACATTTCGCAAGTCTTCCACACTCTCTGTCACACCTTTTTAATATCTGGTTTGAACAGAAAGTATTTGACTGTGCCCTTATCTGATGCAACACAAAGATGGCCTCTTGGGAATTTTTGGAATTGCTAAGACATGCCATTCAGATATCCAACACTCTACTATCCCCCCCCCCTGCAGGATTTCGTCCCACTCTATCAGGACTTCGAGAACTTTTACACCAGGAACTTGTACATGAGGATCCGAGACAACTGGAACAGACCCATCTGCAGTGTCCCCGGTGCTAAGATGGACCTGGTGGAGAGGGCTTCCCACGACTACAACTGGACTTTTGAGTAAGTTACTTCACAGTGGCACCAAGTGTGTGTGTGTGTGTGTGTGTGTGTGTGTGTGTGTGTGTGTGTGTGTGTGTGTGTGTGTGTGTGTGTGTGTGTGTTGTGTGTGTGTGTGCGTGTGTGGGGGTGTGGCGGGGGGGGCGCGCGCGGGTGTGTGTGGTGTGTGTGTGTGTGTGTGTGTGTGTGTGTGTGTGTGTGTGTTGTGTGTGTGTGGTGTGTGGGGCGGGTGTGGTGTGTGTGTGTGTGTGTGTGGTGTGTGTGGTGTGTGGTCTGTGTGTGCTGTGTGTGTGTGTGTGTTGTGCGGGGCCTCGTGTGGTGTGTGTGTGTGGTGGGGATGTGAATACCGCGTATCCACGGCGTTCCACAGAGCTGTGCTTTCTGTTCCACTTGATCTTCGCTTTCGTCAACTGGGCGTCAACAGGAAGTGTCACCGACCCCCGTTCTTCTTCTGGAGTCATAATTAAGAGTGACTGGCCTAAGCCCATTCAGAAGCACCAGTATCCCATCACATGGTATCTGAACAGGAAGCCATATGCCACTGTCGTTGAACTCTGAAATTTGAAGAGACAAAAAGGTCTCTTGATAACAGCGACATGTGGACTGTTGTGTTATATTTCCTCCGTATTGAAATATTATCAAAGTCTATGATCAGAATATATAATGTGATCTCCGTCAGCTCATTCATTTGGGACTAGGCCTGGGCAACATATCCATTATTTTGTGTTATCACAGTGTGACATGAGACCACATATTGTCTTAGGTTTGTTACATGGACACAAAAGGGATTTCTGATTTATTATTCTTCAGTTTTGACCATACATTTTACAAAAAAATTTTTTTTTTAAAACACAGTTTTTACATACTGTATAAAAAAAGTCAAAGAAAAAAATAGATTTCAATCCAAATGCAGAAAAATAAAGCTATATAATGTTTATTAATAAATAATAATAATAATAATAATAATCATAACACAAATCATCCCACAGCACGAATAAAAACATTACAATTCTATAAATAATAATGATATTAAGGGGAATAAAAAACAAGCGTATTTAGATTAAGATACTCAATGATATATATATATATAAAGGTGGCTAGGGGACATAACACTTTTGTTTAAGTTATCATGCACTGTGATAATAGAGGGTAACATTGACCAGGAAATGGTAGCTATGCAACCAGGGCAGTCATGCACACACTTTAAAGATCATTATACTTATTAACCCTCTGATTTCCTCTCTCAGGGACACAGGCAGAGTGGTGAAGGACGTCATCAACATGGGATCATACAACTACCTCGGCTTTGCTGAAAACACTGGAGCTTGTGCCGATGCTGCTATCGAAGTCACACAAAAGTACGGCCCTGGAGTGGGCAGCACTCGCTGCGAGATGGGTGAGTTCTCTTTCTTTAGAAGCTGTCAGGACTTTTTTCCTCATCTCATACGGCTTTTATCATAAAGAGTCAATAAATGCTCAAGTGGACCTCAGTTGTTACTTTAAAGGCTGCGCCCTCTTTTGTCAGCCGCGCTTTCAGCACTACAATACTGGCTACAGGCTTCAAGTGATTTTGAAGGACCGAAAGGCTGAGTTTGAAATATCGTGAAAGCATTTTGAAAAGCTTTGAAGTTCCAGTCCATTCCATTTCATTTTATTTTGACATGTGCAGCTACTGATAGTTTATCACATCTAATCTTGTTATCTCTAGCAAAAGAAAAGCTAAAGTTCATGGTCTATTTAACTTAAGGTGCCATGTGAGTATTTATTTTGGATAAACAAAAGCTTTGTTTACACACAGTGTTACTTACCACAACATTTTCTGTGTATTCTTAAAGTGTACCAAAGATGTTGAAATGACATCAGCATTTTTCTTCCTTGCGTATGCCTCATTGAACAGCATGACGGGGTGTTACTGACACCTGTTGATCAGTGGAATAGCTTGATACCGATGGTGTAACTTGGGATCGCGTTACACTGGTGCGCCTTGATGCACATCCTGGGCCCCATCGTAGAGATAGGGCTCCATAGTGTTTCTAAAGGGTTAAGAGGCCCTATTATACTTTTTTTAGTTTTGCCTTTCCTGTGTAGTGTGTGTGCAAATGTTCTGCAAAGGCTTGAATCCCAAATTTCCCTCCAGAAGGAGTTTCTCTCCCAGACAGTCCCCCCTCTGCCTGAGACGCCTCCATTGTTTTACTTGCGCAACCTAATGACATCCCTATGTAATACTTGTCTATTTGCTAGCGCTTCAACACATTGTATGTGATAAGCTAAGGGGTAGGACATCTTTAAGCAGTTGACCAATCACAACAAAGCCGGCCAGTTAACCAAACGGTGAAAAGAGGTGCTGCAGCACAGGCGGTATGAGAAAAATAAAGAGCTTTTTGAACATTAAAGCATGGAGACATGTCACAGTGGAGGCAGAAAACACAAATATGAAGCTTAAAATAGGGAAGCTTAAAATAGCACAATAGGGACCCTTAAAAAAGTCCAAAGGGACTCTTTAAGGTTTAACAGGTAATAAAACAAGTGTTGACCTAAATAGTTCCTACTTATGACAATTTAGCAAATTGCAGTACACTAATAGGAAGTTGTACTTAAACTAATATTTTTTTCCTCTCTAGGAAATCTTGACATCCACGAGGAGCTGGAGCAGTTGGTGACCCGGTTTCTGGGTGTTGAGTCATCCTTGGCTTTTGGGATGGGCTTCGCAACAAATTCCATGAACATTCCTGCTCTCACCGGGAAGGTACGGAATTTCATTCACTTCCTTTCTTATGATTTAGATCTCACTGGAACATCCTGCTCCTTTTGATTTGATTACTTTGACAGTGTTTCTTTAGTCACAAGTACCCTTAGTGGAATTGTTTGGGTATGCCATTAAACTGTTCAGGAAACAATGCTTCGTGTGTAAAGTAAAAACAAGTTTTCAGATGTACAGCCAATTTCGAAGGGTTCAAACTGTTCCACAGCACTAGTTTCCGTTATAAGCTTTCAAAACATCTCGAGGGCCTTGGGGCTGTAGATTGATATTTGACAGCCACTGTTATTCTAAACTCAACGAACCACACATGTCAGTCTTTACTCGCGTCTTAACTTGACCTTTTTTCTTTCGCTAGCCAGTTTCGCTTGAACAGGAAGTAGAACTGACAGGCTCGTGTACCTTGTGATTCAAAGAACACATTTCCTGACCACCGCATGAGTGGATAGCAGATGGACTGGGAGGGAGAGACAAACTTGCTGCGAGACAGTAAAGATCTGAGTCACTGAGATTGTCACAAGGGTTTATTTATTCTTAACTGTACCTGTCACATTTCCACTAGCTCATATCTATGTCATGCCATAATCATGTGTTGTGTAACAAGCTCATTGAATCATTGGAAAGAGGGAATGGTCTGACCTTTGGAAATGTTAAGGTTTGTTGACTTTAACAGGTCGATAAGGTGTGTTTATTTGGAAACATTATTTATGGTATAATGAACAATTGACCTACGTTTCTACTTATCTGAGGGAGGGAGGGAAACATATCTTTGGCGTATGTGGCTCAGGGGGGGGGGGAAAGAGTGTTTATCAAGTAAGATGTTTAGTTGTTCAATCCCCAATCCCTAAAGGCAACATGCCAAAGTGTCCTTGGGCAAGATACTTTACCCCAAACTGCTACAGTAGGCATCTCTACCGTATAGAAGAATATGTAATTTAAAGAGGCCCTTCTTTGCCTTTTGGGGGGTTTCACGCTCCTGTAGTGTTATATAGGCTTTTGTGCATGTAAATGGTCTGCAAAGGCTAAAATCCTTCCAGAGGGGGTTTCTCTTCCACACCCCAGACCCCCGCCTGACCCGCCTCAATTAGAATTATTTTGTTACTTCCTTAACATAGTGACATCACTATGTAACACTCGTACCTCCATTGGCCAACCCTCCTACACATTGTTTATGATAGGCTAAGGGGTGGGACATCTCTAAGCGGTTGACCAATCACAACAGAGCCGACCAGCTAACCAATCAGAGCAGACTGGGCTCTGGTTTCAGACAGAGGGTGAAAAGATGTGCTGCAGCACAGGCAGTATAAGAAAAATAAAGAGCTTTTTGAACATTAAAGCATGGAGACATGTCACAGTGGAGGAACAGAATACAATCATCAACCTGAAAATGTGCACAATAGAGCCCCTTGAATTTAATAATAGGATATCTCGAGATTAATGCGTCTATTCATTGCAACGGGTATACTTAATCACAGAGTATTAAAGTTTCATGTGTAACCCAAACAAGCCCGGATCATTTGCCTCACTGCGGGTGTGTTCTGGAACCTTCAGTTTAGTCAACACTAAACACTCCCATCATGTTAAATCCTGGGGTATTACAATTACGCAAGAAAAGCTCTTATAGAGGGTTGAACTTGAATATGAATAGTGTTTGACTTTCCTGGCTAATTAGGGATTGCTTTTTCTCTTAATGTCGACACCGATTATCAGCTAAGAAATACCAAGCTCTACAACTAGTTAAAAAATCATATTCTATATTTCTTTTTTTCAGGGTTGTCTTATTCTGAGTGACGAGCTGAATCACGCGTCGCTGGTGCTGGGGGCCCGTCTGTCTGGCTCCCCAATCCGGGTCTTCAAACACAACAGTGGGTGACCTCTTATACTAATTACATTACCTGATTAGTTACATAGAATTTTGACTCCCACACAATTACGTTTTAAAACTAAAGCGATATTCACGTAACAATGTTAGCATATTTCACAACTAATCTCAGCTCATACTAATAGCCTTAAAACGCATGTCACATGACCATTCACGTACACTGGGTATGCATGTGTCAGAAGTAGCAGGAAGCCGATGTTCTACTCTTTACTCTGTGTCATTTTTTTTTACTTCTTATAATAAAAGGTATTTTTTGATACATCAGACTTACATCTATATTTCCCACACATGCATTCTCACTCAGTCACATTAGGTGGAGAAATCTATTTTTTTTTTTTGTAAAGCAGCTACTAGGCTACTGCCACGTTACTAATGTATAGCCAACCTCTTTCTCTATCTTTCTCACTGACATCAAATTTACTTAAAAATAAGAAACAATTACAAAGTTTTCTACATTAAAGGTCAAAACATTTAGTAAACACGCATCTAACTTGTTTAGCGCTGTGTCTTCTCGTAGGGTAAAACCCTTGTTGTAGTTTAAGAAGAGGCCCCTTTAATAATCCCACAAGAGAAACTTAGTTTCTCACTTTGTTATTATATACATTATACAAAAAACATACATGCAGAGGACATATTATCATTCGTCCTAAATACAATACGACTTTTTTTGTTGAGAGGTGTCAGAGCAAAGAGGCTGCCATGTTTTAAAGCACCAGGAAGCAGATTGGGTTGAAGGACTTGCTCAAGGGCCCTGGAGGTGAACACGCACCTCTCCAGTCCAAACTCAGTATTTTTGGTCCGACTCGAACCGGCGACCCTTACAAAAGGAAGGACCTCCCTGTTAACTTCCACCGCTTTCCTCAATGCCGCAAACCCTTGCTTTAAACATTTATTTTTCATATTAAATGCGGAATTTAAGGACTCGTTATGACCCAACCAGGAAGTGAATGTGGGTTCTGCGTCATTGTCTCCAAAGGTTTCTGTTTCCTCCTCTTCAGACTATGATGCAAGACTGGGATTTTTGAACTGAAAAGGAAACTAGAGATTGCCAGAGGGATTACAGAGCATCTTTCAACACTATGAGACAGGATTTCGCCTTAGTCTGCTTGACCAAACAGAACAGCAAATCAGACAGACACTCATCCATTAATGAAAGAAAGCTCTCGTATAACTTTAGGAGAATAAAAGCTTTACTAAGTGTTGGGGAAATATTTCCCAAAGTCCATAACTTGACCCAGTTGATCAAACTGTCCTGACTGAGCACACGCACCTGTAACCTTGGCTGCTGTGCTCTCGGTGTTCTGTCTCCCTGTTCCTGCCTGTTGGCATCAGCTGATAGAGGTGTTATGATTCTATCTTGTTATGCAGCATGTTGATTATTCTCTCTGAACTAGCTGAATACATGGGTCTGGGGTAGAGTTCTTCAGAATTGATGTGGCAACTCTACCTTGAAGTCAGAACCTCTGGCTCTTGGGACTTGTGATGTGAATTCTCCGGCCGAAGCTCCAAATAAACCATCAGTGTTTGACATCAAAGCTCCTGCTCTTCCCGTGTCTCTTTCCTGAGTCGGTGACTCCCACTGCATTGCTACACTTAAGTTTCCCTTAAAATAAGACTATAAGTGTGTTTTTTGTGTGTTCTAGACATGATAAGCCTAGAGAAGCTGCTGAGAGACGCCATCGCACACGGGCAGCCGAGAACCCACCGACCCTGGAAGAAGATTCTCATTGTGGTGGAGGGAATTTACAGGTATATACTCACATGTACAGTACTCTTACACATACAAACATACTGTATTTAGTTAGTAAGAGCTGGATAATTAGGTTTAGCTAATTCAAAATTCAGTTTTTATTGCTATTTAACTGTAAGAATTGTAATACCATTACTGTATCTCATTACACTGTGTTTACTGCCAATTACTTGAAACCCACAGCTGTCTGGGGCAGGACATATTAATCTGTACTTAGTTTATCTTGTGTATTCCATTGGTCACATTTGAAGAAACATAAAAATACTCTCAGACAAAAAGTAATATATTAAATATTGATGTTGTATTTTACTTGACATTGCCCTTGGTGTAATTGATATAGCAGGAGTGCTGCATTTATAGGACCTATGACAGGTTTAGTTTATCAATACCTTTTACAATGTGACTCCATAATATTTTAAAGGTTGTTTTGTGATATAATGATGTCCCTTTATTCGGTGTAGCAGCAGATAAGTGACTCATTTATATAGGAAAAAGCACTTTTGGCAGTTTAGAGTTCAATGCAGAATCTTTCTTTGTATTTATTTTACGACTCCCACATGCTTACATTGTTAGAAAAAACTACACATAGACATTTTCTCATAGAAAAAAGTGTGTATACCAATTTCACAATATCTAGTTCAGACAGTATTGAGTCATAATGGCCGCCCGCCCTTATATCACTTTGTTTAAATATAGAAGATAATGTGGATTTGGAAGTGTGCCCACTCTCCTTGTATTCCTTTCTTCTCTGCAGTGTACTTACTAGAAAGGCAATCAATCCTGTTGATCAATAGAGTGTTCAGAGAAACGGCCTGACCTACTCAGTGCCCTGCGCTAATGCAATGTTAATGAAGTTTCATTTCCACTGGGAATTCCAAAGCTTCAACACCTGCTCATGCTCACACCACACTGCAGCCTTTTGAAGCCCAACATTACTGTACACTGCAGCCTTCTGAGGCCCAACATTACTGTTCACTGCAGCCTTCTGAGGCCCAACATTACTGTTCACTGCAGCCTTCTGAGGCCCAACATTACTGTTCACTGCAGCCTTCTGAGGCCCAACATTACTGTTCACTGCAGCCTTCTGAGGCCCAACATTACTGTTCACTGCAGCCTTCTGAGGCCCAACATTACTGTACACTGCAGCCTTCTGAAGCCCAACATTACTGTTCACTGCAGCCTTCTGAAGCCCAACATTACTGTACACTGCAGCCTTCTGAGGCCCAACATTACTGATAGCAGCCTTCTGAGGCCCAACATTACTGATAGCAGCCTTCTGAGGCCCAACATTACTGTTCACTGCAGCCTTCTGAGGCCCAACATTACTGTTCACTGCAGCCTTCTGAGGCCCAACATTACTGTTCACTGCAGCCTTCTGAGGCCCAACATTACTGTACACTGCAGCCTTCTGAGGCCCAACATTACTGTACACTGCAGCATGCCAATTATAATGAAATGTTAAATAAATCAGTTTCATATTGGTCATCTGCTACTGCTTTGTCAGTGCTCAAGTCCTAAAAAAGAAATGAGTAAATAAAGTAACATTTCAAATGTTCACTTTTTATGTAACACTTAGATTTGACTTATAATGCAGTAGCATTTACAATGGTCATGCTTATTTAAATCTAATGTATTTGCAGTATTCTTGTTTTGTTTTTCTACGCTTGTTTCTTCATGGTTGAATGCACTTATTTGAAGTCGCTTTGCATAAGCCTAAGGAAATGTCATTTAATGTCGTGAAGTGTAATGTATTCTCCATAAAGTAGCTGTGGATAGAATGTTGATAAGGCAGTGAGGAAGCTCATACAATACAAATAAACTATCTATTGTTGTCTTTTATTGCTATAGAGGAGTTGCGGGACATCTTGTTTATTTCTGACTGTATTTTTTCGTTCTGAAGTATGGAGGGCTCCATCGTGCGTCTGCCTGAAGTCATCGCTCTGAAGAAGCGCTACAAGGCGTACCTCTACCTAGACGAGGCCCACAGTATCGGGGCCCTGGGACCCAATGGCAAGGGAGTGGTGGACTACTTTGGCCTTGATCCCAAAGATGTCGACATAATGATGGGAACATTCACCAAGAGCTTCGGGGCTGCTGGAGGATACATTGGAGGCAAGAAGGTGGGTGAACCTTTACACAGATAAACCTTAAGCTGTGAGATCAGACAGAGGAGTTTGAATCATTCTGTGTTGTTAAAGAAACTATGAAGCACTCGGATTACAGTATGTGGAGCCATTGGTCATACACTCGAGGGATTTGAGCTATTTCCACGTTGTGTGTCATTCAGTTTTGGTGTTGGTCAACACTGTTTACGGGCAATAGGAAGTTTCGCTTACTGTTTTCTGAAAACGGTGTAAGCTTTCATTTTCTACAAATCAAAACTCACCTTTAAGAATTGCTTTTAATGTGTAAGTAATGTTGCTTGGTGTATATTTTAAGGCTGTATTCATATTTAAAAGCGGTTATGAAATAATAGTTATCATGCCCAAAAAACCCAGATGATGGCGCTTTACCTGTAATATATCTTTCCTTCAAAATGAGTAAACTCCTAGCCCACACCTTAAAATCATATTTTCAATTCTAAAGCTGCCTATAACCAATTATGTTATCCTACATTACAAATCATGTGCTACTGATATTATGTTTTGATCTATACTCAATAAACAAACAGTATTAAAACAGAATTGTACTCACCATCAGCAGCCATAATAACACACTTTGAATTACTTGGATTTCCTTGTTTATTCATGATGGAAATATTATGATTTTTAAATAAAACTGTGTAGTCAGCTTTTTCAGTTAATAAAATATCACTTCTTATAATATTTCAAATATTCTAATAATAATCTCATCAGTGCTAATACAGATGCACAACTGTCTCTCTTCTGTCTCTTCTCCTGTGTTTACTCACTAACCAAATTAAATATATAGCATCCCCGTTGTTTTTGGAAAATAAAAGGCTTAAGGCTTTAATATGATTTCTCTGTCAGGAGCTGATCGACTACCTGCGGCGCCACTCTCACAGCGCACTGTACGCCACCTCCATGTCACCCCCTGTGATCCAGCAGATAATCACCTCTATGAAAATCATCATGGGAGAGGACGGGACCACGCTGGGTAGGTGCCAGACAATGGCTCTCATCACTTAAAATTGCAAAGCATCAGTGTTGTGTACCATAAGAAGAGAAGTCACAAAATGTATAAGCTTTAATAAAGTGCTGCAGTGATGACGTTTTTTCGCAGGCCGACTAGCAAGGGCTCCCTCAATAAAAGTCGATTTTCAATTGGATTTTAGAGTATTGCAGAAAATAAAATCTGCGGCAAACACACGTTTATGATACTTACACATTTGACTCTCAACATATGAACCACTTTTATTATTTTTGAAGTGAAAATAAAATCACCAGAAGTAAAAAGCTAAGGGTGGCTAAAAAACAAACCACTCCCTCGACCCTACCCCTCCGTGACGGAGTGAACTCCGTCTGTAGCCACACTCGCAGCTCAACGAGGCTCCCTCCTGTCAGATGGAGGGAGTAAATACAGCAGCAAGCTTTGGGACGGACTCCCTTCTCTCCGGCAGAAACAGGAAATGCCGTAACTGTATGTAACAACGGTTTCAAATCAGCATCTCTTAGACAAAAAGTTTAAATTAATAACTCAAATAAAACTCCAAACATCTTTCATTGTGTTTCAAAGCTCTTTTAGTTTTAAACCTGATGTTTATAAGCTTCTTAGTTTTTGCAATGGTCTTTAAATATACACAACTTTATAATAAAATGCACACATTTACCTTTTTCTAGACTAAACACAGGTATGGTCCTAATTTCATGTGTGATTTGGTGTGAATTTCCACCAAATAAAGAGAACCAACTACAAAAAACTAAATTAGGAGTTACGTATTATGTTCTTTGTTACACATAATAGTAATCTAAGTATATTTGGGTTTTGGACTTATATTTTAGGCTTGAGGATAATAGGTCTCTGTTGCTCCTATCCTAGCCAGAACACTCTTGAGGATTCCAAAGTTGATTAAATAAATGTGGTTTGGCAAAAAGTACAAGCTAAAGGCTAACGTCATCATGCTAACATTCACATTTATTTAATCAACTTTGGAATCCTCAAGAGTGTTCTGGCTAGGATANTTTTCTAGATCCGCCCGACGCAGACCCCACGCAGCAACTAGGAAACGACACCAGTAACAGCTCACACTGTCCGCTCCTCGAGCCTCAAAGGGCGGAGCAGCGAGCCCTGCAACGTCCCGCCAACACGGCACTCAGACCCCACGCAGCATTCTCATCTGTTTGTCATTACTGGTGTCATTTTCTGGTTGCTAACAAACGCCATTGTAACACATCATCACTGATGTTCCGCTGTAATGTGGTGCCGTGGTGGACTCATCAAAACAGAGTGGGCTAGCTGACCAATCAGAGCACAGTGGGCTCATAGGGAGGGGGGGCAGGAGCTCCAACAAGCTGTTTAGGACAGAGAGTGAATAGACAATACTATACAGAGATGCTGTATGAGAAACCAATGTGAGTTTGGAACATTGAACAATGTAAATCTATTCTAGTAGACTTCAACAATGGAATTTTCATGGGAACTTTAAGTAGCAGTTTCCCCATGTGTCCTGTCTTTATGCTAAGCTATGCTAACTGTCTGTTGCCTGTAGCTTAATATGTGCAGGCATGAGTGGTATCAATATTTACATAACTGTTGGCAAGAGAGCAAACAAGCATCTAGCCCATAAATGTGTTATTTTTACATAAACTCTATTTGCTTATATTATATATAACAGAAGTTTATGGCATCTATGGTGGTCTTGGTACAGTATCCCCCATTGGCTGTCCTTAATATTCAGCCTGTTGCTGAAATAGGGCAGTGACATGTTTGCACTCTGAAGGAATGCTTGCTGCACTGTACCTGTTTTGTTGGAGAGGGAAGTTACGGAAAGTTTCGGTATGTCCGTAAATAAAGAGTACAAGTACTCAGTTGAGTCTTTAGGAATTTGCTTGACAGTACTATGCTATGGTTGGCTCGGCTACACAGTATCTTAAGTGTGGAAAAAGAAACGACACGTTAGAAAGTAAGATGATGAATGCAAGGTCTTTATATATTTCTTCAGCATAATTGCAACAACATATTCATAGAGCACTGCAGTACAAAGTAGAATGAAACACTTGATGTTGCTGTATGAAGTGATATGAGGCAAGTGGGTTTCCCTTTTGATAATGGGTGCCTTCATTTCTCAGTCAGATTAGTGCACCATGTTGAGTAAAGAGACATTTCAAAAGCTTCAGCAAACTTAAAAAAAGAGAACAGACAAATAAATACTGTACAACACCATATATGTAATACTAGATTCAGAAATCACAAAAAAGAAATCATGCTTTCCTCAACAGAACACTTGATATATGCACTTTCAAAGAACAATGCAGCATTTCTGGCGAGTTTTCCTTCACAATAACACTATCAACAACAAATGGCAAACACGAGTACATTTTGATATATATTTTGTATATATTTATATACTTTAAATAAAGTGCCTTCCTTTAAAATTGGTGATTCCAAAATGTAAATGCGTGTTTGCATATCACATATTGAAGCAGAATTCCTGAAAAAAGGTTTGGAGCGAACATCCATAGAATGAGACTGGATAAAATGGGCGATTCCTGGCGCTCTAAGGTATTTCTATGTTTATTTGATATTTATACTAAGTATTTGAGTAAGGTGCTGAGTTTTATTATAGCTACAATGCTAAAACTGTTGTTATAATCAATCATTTGCACTATATCTTATAGGGTATTTACTCAAAGTGCATAGGAATGTCCTTTCTATCCAATCAAGTTCTGTCTATAAACCCAAAGACCCTAAGCCCACATCTTAAGCAGCAATGACATCCTTCTATCACACATAATGCTTTAACAGCTTTTTCAGTTTTAAGGTTCCTTACTGCTTTTTGAAACTGAACAAAAAGCATGGATTAGAAATCTGATACCCTGCAACTAATCTTTACCCTAATACACTTTGTAGTAGTTCCAATAGTGCTCCGTTGTCGAGGTAAATTAACAGATGTGTTAATCATGGTTTGATAGTCCCCCTGAGAACATCGTAGCGATCTATGAGCATCATGTACTCACTGTAGAACTTAATTTCTTCCTACATTTGCACCGTAGAGACTTAGGAGGCTGGATCTACGCAGGCACCAACAGTCTGATTCTTTAACTCTTTGGCACCCGGATTATTATCTTCCCGGCTGTGAAAATGTGAGAAATTGCATAAATCAATCAATCAATTAATCTGTGTGACGAAACTTTTGAGATAAAGTATTCTCATAATTTTGTGTCCATTGTACATTACTGTGAGAATTATTGGGTTTATTGATGTCCTGCTGTCTTGTTCCCCATAATACCTTTGTAAAAACCTGATGGATTATATAATGTAGCAGCATAGTCGGGATATTCATATTCTGTTGGACTCTTCCCATGCATGTGTTTGTTTCATCAATATAACCAACCCACATTTATACATTTCCGTAACATAAGACTTAAAAGAAGCACGATCAGGATGTTTACCACATGTTGCGAATTGTCAATCACAAGCGCTCCAGGACACTATCAAACAAAGCCAGTAGGTGGACATCATGCTTACACACACCCAGGAGAGTGAATATAAAGAGAGAGCTGGATGGTATCCCAGATGTGGAACAGGTTGGCAAGCGATGGGAGAACACTGCTTTTTTTTTCCATTCTTGTAATTTAGTTCCATTGAGCCTGATATCAGGAAACTGTGCCAAATCCTAACTTGAGACAACCACACTTCACACACACACCTAAACCCCACACACCTCCAAATCACATTTCCTCTGAGTCAACGCATGGTTTAGGTGTAATATTTCATAATTTTTAAAAGGCTGTCTCCTCTCAAATTAGGATTGGGCCCTCTGACTCTGAATGGTAGTTTTGGCTGTGGTCCCTCAGTACTCCCTGGCTTCCTCCAGTTCATTCATGAACACATCTTCGTGGGGATTTTCTGGGCAGCTCAACCCATTGTTAGGTGGCCGCACCGCGTGGAAGCGACTCCAGTCTCCCTTGCACAGGATCCAGGGCAGCACGTCCACCTTGAAGTGCAGCTCGGGAGAGAACTCGGTGCTGATCAGGTTAGGCGTGCCTGCACCTTTCCCTCGTGTTATCAGCCGTCCACGATCGCCGTAGCAACAGTGCTGCGCTGCTAGAGTGGATGAATCGCTTGAAAGTGCTGAGCGGATGCAGCTACGCGCTGACGGCTTGTAGATGTCCATGCGCTCCTTGGGGCCACTGGCATCGTGCCAGCGGAATGGCCGGCCGTGATTGTCGTCGTAGACGCTGACCACGGTGTAAGACACTTCAGAGGGGTAAGTGCAGGGGCAGCTGGGCAGCTCAGACATCACCTGGCGGAGGTACCTCTGGAGGAAGTCACTCTTACAGTTGAGCCACTTCTCGCAGCTGTCCACATCTGTAAGAAAGAAGACAGCAACACTTCATGAAATTGTGCGTTGCAGATCTTCAAGATAGCACTACTAGTAACATGAACAGCAGCCATTTGTAATCAAGTTTAAATTCAATTCTGGCATCCATAATAATCTTTTACTGAATTGAGAAATCAAGTTCTAAAATCCCTTATATAAAATGGCATGGCCCTTTAATTAGCCAAGGGTGAACCTTCATAGACCTACAACTACAGTATTTATCAGGCTGATTATGCTTTGTAAAATGGTGTACAGTAAAACCAGCTTGCAGTTAATAGGTTAAAATGTGTAATTGTCCTTTAGCCCAATGAAGCTGTCCATTACAAAAAACATACCTGTTCCAAATGGCTCTGTGCCATTCTCCATCGCGAAAGGGAATGGCTCTACTACAGTGTTGACATCACCTAAAAAAGCGGAGAGTGTAGATTAGAAAAAGCAGCATGAAAATCTAAACATTTTGGCCTGTCTTTCTAGTATTTATGTCTAAAAGGGAAATATAATCTCACCGGGACAAGGCTCCAGGTCACACTTGGAGGCTTCTGTCAGAGTGCATGAGTAGCCACAGGACTTGGTCCTTTTCCTCTCACCGTTTCCACATGTCACTGAACAGGGAGACCAGGGAGTCCACTCATCTGTTGCCTTTTCTGTGAAAACAAAATCCAAACAGTCAGGGTCACAAACTGTATTTGCACTACTATGAACTTGAGAAAATGTTTTTTCCTTTTCTAATTCAGAATAGGCTTTCAAAGTCTCAGTGCATATAAATGAAATGTTTTCTCCTTGTCTAACCTTTCCCATGCAAACCCATATTCTTTTTAAGAAGGCCTCAGTAAAATTAGAGAGAAAGAAGCTGTGCTGTGGCTGTCCGCCTCCGCACCATGTTTCCTTGTGGTGTTAATAACACTGAAAACAAGTCATTCTTGATTAAAGGCGAGGTGGGTGCAGAAATACCAGCTTGGGTGTAGCGAGCACCCAATTTGACTTTGTGGGCGCTGCCAACTCGCCATGTGGCCATACGGGAATGAGGTCTCAGGAGAATCTTAATTACAGAAGAAGCTAAGGCAGACATCCTTGATTTATGTTCGCTCAGTCTTTAGATGTGACCACTTAATAGGCATTGTTGCCCTTTGATTGCTCTACTACATGCACAACACTTAAAGGGATCAAATCTATATATTGGTATAAATGGGTAAGGAGAAAAGTTAAAGAGTTAGCCAACATATTGAGAACAACTTTGTAAAAACAAAAAGACCAATCATGCACAGATTTGTATTTTTGGGAAATATCTCTGAAGAATGAAAAATGTGGCTGTGGTAAGTCCATGACTGTGCTCTGATCTTCAGTCGGGCCAACACACGATGGCTACAGACTGCCAAGCCTCAGATCAGATAATCACATATCATTCTTTATTTCATTCTTTTTATATATATATATATATGTATATGTATTTATATCTTCCTCTACCTTTTCCACCTTCTCTCCCTTTCAATCAATATGTTTACCCTTCTCTTTCCCTCTTATTATTTACTTTATATACTACAAATTCTCTCAGCACAACATGTTTTCCCACCGGACAATGGTGGAATTAAGAGGGGAAAATAGCTGTTAAAGTTATGCACAGCCCTGCGAGCCCCCCGAAATTCTTGAACTGGTTCAAAAGGCTGAGCCGCAGAGGGCTGTGAGTGCCGCCAGGGTCTGGGGGGGGCCCATGGGGTCCCGGGGAAAGATGAAAGGGGCCAGCCGAATGGCCCCTGTCATTCTGTGTTCCAAATCTGCCCTCTAATTGTCCACAAGCAGAGGGCTGTTTTGTCCCAGGGAACAGTGGCGGCCTCACGCTGCCATTAGCGAGCGCATCGGACCCATCTTCAAAAGGCGGGCCTCTGCGACCGGCATGACCAGTGTCGACTTCAAAGTGCCCAGAACCCGCAATATCCTGATGGTCGAGTGCTCATGCTGCCTCGCATGCTGGCATCATTTGGTACTCTGACTGTGAGGATAGTTATCATGCAGCCTCCTTAACCACTCTGTTGTTCTCTCTCTTTGTCTCTGCTTTCAGACATTCCCTTTATCTCTGTCTCTCTTCTGATATGAAGACATCAGCAATTGTATTTCCACACTTATCCCTTTTTTGCTTATACTTAATAAAAACACAGGAAGTCAAATCTGCTGGTTCTAACAGCCAGCAAGTGTACCACTTGGCAAACCTTACCGTAGTAGCTCTGTATTGGATCCCAGCCTTCGTTCCAACGCGTATCCCAGTCTTCGCCCACTCCGCTTGGTAAGGGCTCCTCGCTTCCGTAATCCAGAGAGTAATCCCCCTCCTCCTCCTCTTCCTCACCATTTTCGTCCGCCCCTGAGCGGCTGTTGCTTTCCTCGCCGGAGTCGGCGTCAGTGTAACTCCAGAAAAGGGGCCAGAAAAGCTTCTTGCCTCCGAGCCAATCCACCGTGGAAGACGGTGAGGAGGAAGAGGAGGGGAGCCATTCTTTTTCCTTGGCCAGATCCATCTCTACCTCCATCTGGGGGTCGTCCACCACCTCAATGGTTACCTACATGGGAAAACAGAGGCCCTCTGTTAAGCTAAAGTAAACCATTCATCTGTGTCACTGTTTTACAAAGCTAAAGTAAACCATTCATCTGTGTCACTGTTTTACAAAGCCCTGTTTGTGAACAACTCTCTCTAAAACTATCAAACCAAGACAACAAATTGTAGCGTTGTTGATTGACAACCCAAACCTACGTATTAACCATGTAAAACAATGACATACAAGTGAGCTATCCAGTCTTGTTCTGTTGACTCTGCTTTTTCTTAAATGTGTCATACAAATATCTACTTGAGTGCAGCTTTATTGCTTCAGTTACAAGCTCTTCTTAAGAAATCAACTAACTCAAATCAGCGGATACATTTTTCAGCAAGTGAACTCGCTTCCCAGATCTAAATCAGCCAGCGAGACTTGAGCATGAGCATTCAGCCATCAAACCATCCTCTCAGGGAGAGAATGTGAGCATTTCTTCTGGATAACTACCTCTCATTACCTCAATATGACTCATCCTAGATGCTACAGTACTTCCATTGGCCAACTTCAGCTGATGTGAAGACCAGGCAATGCAGAGACTACAGGGGAAAACCTTTCTGTAACTTTTGTGACATTCCTTTCGCAGTTAGGAAAGGATTGGAAATGCTTTGTTGAATATATCTTTCCGTCAGAATATGGTACATCTGGTCTATAGGCTACATGAAAACTCATCAGACATTTCATTGGTTTCTGTACTTGATGTAGACATAAGGCCGGCATCATTATGTCCCTCTAACCACATCCTGATTACACTGACCAGAGTCGGAGAGAATAACTGCCCTGAGATGGAAGTTAAACAGAACGACTTTTTGGGTCAATTTAGAATGAGATGATGATGACTTAATGGCTCACACTTATTATCACAGAGCCTGTTTTGTATTAAAATAAACGCAGGTTGCAAAGATTACACTGTTGATTTTGTTGAGCACAATGAAAGTCAAAATGTTCCCCTTGCATGAATGGTTGAAATGTATCCCTAAATGTAATAACGAAGGCAATGTAAGGAATTCCCAAACGGCATATCTCCAATTTAGTGTGACCCCCCCTGCGGACTCACCTGTATGTTTGGGTTCTGCGAGTTTATTTCAGCATTTGCCAGGTCTGGGAAGTTCTTGAGATCCAGAATGAAGGGTTTGGTCTCCTCCTCAGGCTCCGGCTGTGGGAGAACACCAACAGAGCGGTGGTGGGGGTGGGTCCACCTCCTCTGGGGGCCATGGGGCTCAGGGAGGATACTCTGGACCTGGTTCTGCTGCTCCAAAGTCTCAGGGACATATTGGACTCCAGCACTGTGAATCTGGTGGCCATGAGCCTGGAAATGAAAGATAAAGATGTTATGCGGATCAGAACAACTAAATAGTGACATTATTTAAGACGTTACATGACTACTTTGAATTTAGTAAACAACACCCAAAACATAAAAAGGGAAATGGAGAAAACTGTAACACATTTAAAAGCCAGTAGCTATTTCGGGGCCACTGACAAAAAAGGATCCATAATTTATAGCGACTCACTGATGAATATAAGAACAATTAGTGCCCTGTTACCAAGAGGAAAACTTGAAACCATCTACCACTTTGTAGCTTGGTCAGCAATTCCAAAAAGCCCCCGAGGCATCCGACTAATCAGCCAAGTGACCAACCAACCGGCTTTCGTTCATTTCTTTTTTTTCCCACAACAGTCATGGCATCCGGGCCGTGGACAAAGAGGGGCCTGTGCCAGAGAGATCCTCTTTTAGCTTTAATGAGAGGGCCTGGGAGGCGTGGGACCCCTGGGTCGGTGCGAGCGTGTCTGAACCTGCTGCGCTGCCGCCACTACGGACGCCACTTTATATGACCTTCCAGGTTTTACAGTTAGTGAGCCCAGCGGGAGGAAATGTCGATCTCCTGAGATGGATGGAGATTACAGGTGACATTATAATGGTGGGAAATTGTAGATATATGTACTGTATCTGGAATATGGTCACTCAAAATTGAATTTTTGGTTGGTCTCCAGCGGGCATGTGTCTGTTTCATGTCTAATGGAATACATATCTATTTCATGCCTGGTCCAAACCAAAATCCGAACCCCTCTAATGAACCCCTGGTCTGCCATTCACTCACTTCTATATCATCCTGAATATGCTAAATTGGCTCAAACAAATGGTTGAACCGGACCTTGAGATTTAACCTGAGCCATTTTGCGTTCTGCTCAGAACAAACCAGTTGCTGTTGGAGGGCTAAAGGGGAGAAGAAATGTCAAATGAATGACCAAATGGTTGATGATATATACTTCTGGCCCCTGGAACAGGGCGTACTTTTCACTGGCTGCCTCTGATTGTCCCATAAAGAAGTTATGTGGTCGGTCAAATTCAAGCATGTGAACACATAGAGCCTGTTTAGAGGAAAAGCCTGTCAAGCATGATAAATGATGGATGAAGAGAAGTTGGTCCCCTCCCCAGATATCTGTAAACTGGTGGTGAAAAGAAGATAACCTTATTGGCATATCAAGCTTTTTTCTATGTATCCACTAAAAATACTGTAAGTTGACAATTTACCAAATGTTATTGCCAAGAAAACTCAAAATATTAATAAAAGAGCAATGCTGAAAACAAAATAGCTCGAGCTTTCTAAAGCAAAGTTAACCCTTGATTAATGTGAATAGCAATACAATTTAATATAATTATTTATGTAGATTTTAAAACGATTTGGGACAATATCAGATACATTTAATATATTTCACATTTTTAACTCTTGGTGTTTATCTTAATGGTGACTGTTTACTGGATATTATGCAAGTACAGCTGAAAGTAAGCTAACTAACATAAAAATAGAAATAACATTACTTTCTCCTAATTTCAAAACCCAAATCTTTGTGAATTGTATGTTTAAATGTTTGTATTTATTTGTATAAGATGCACCAGATTTCAATGCCTCCAACTAATGTGTAATATTCAATCTATGGAGGGAAATAAATATGTAACTTATGAAAGAACTACATTTTTCTCTATCATAGCATAGCAAGCAATGTGGGCCCCATGCGTCTGCTTCTCTTACATAACACCTTGTCTGGTGTCTGTTATATACGATTTTATTGTGGAAATCCTCCGATATTATGTCCATTTCACTCATTTACTGGTGCATATGACCAACAGTGAAAATATTTCAAATTCACAGACATGCTCTAACACCTCCACACACACGCGTAGACAGACACAGAGGGTCCACAGTCACGAGAGAGGCCAAATACTTTCACACCCTCCTCATCTCGTCCTGTTACACATCTGGATCCTGTATTCTTTCACCCTGTATATCACTCTCCTCCTCCTCTCTACCTCCCCCACGTTTTTTCTCTGATCCTGCTCTCCACTCTGTAGCAGGGTGCTTCTGATCAAAGGCCCGCTGGCTAATGGCATGCAGTGTGTTTAACTGGGAGGCTATCTGGATGCAGTGGGGGACCTCGGCCTGATCTGGAGACTGCTTCTCATAGGAACTTCAAATCAAGCAAAGCATTGTGTCCTCCTCTTACTAGATTTAAAAGATGCATATTGAGGCAACTGTCGAATAATGCTGCTCTTGGTGACAGACATTCAGGGTAGGGAGAGGAGGTCTGAGACTGGATGGGTCGTCATTTACGCTTTGTGACATGTCCCAAACACTTTTTAATTTGTTAAAAGTTTTCTGAAAAGTTGCGTGCACAACTTTGAGGTTTATTTGCGAGCATGTAGAATCTAGAGAACAGTTTGTCTGTTCACACTTGGTGGCTGTTTTTTGGGGCTCCAAGTGGGGCAATTTGGACATGTGACACATTTTAATATTACTAAACTTTGAATAGAGAATAGAAAAGCAAACATTGCTACCACTCCTAGTTTTTTCTAGTAAAAGAGTATGCTAAAAAGACTTCCCCCTTAGCCTACCAATTCTAAAACAACCCAAAAATGAGCATAAGTCGTTCAGAAACTTTACCAAGTTCTTGAGACAGTTACTTCCTGTCCAAATGTTCCATTCTCTGTCTGTTGAGTCAGGTTTGTTATATTGAAGAGCGAAACCAGGTCTTGCGGTGTCTTTAGGTGTTGCTTACAAAGAGAAAGCCTGAGTATATTGGGCAGTGGGCACCCCTGCAAGCAATACGCTAGTTGTTTTTTCGTCTGTAAAAAGTGTCTGCAACACTTTTCAAAACAAAGTGACGCCTATGGGGGTAGCAGGGGCTGAGGTGAGGGGCAGGGTCAGGATCCGGTGGGGTGGGGGGCGTGTGGCAGCCCGGATTTATGCACCCGCAGATATCAAAGGCCTCTGCACTTGGCTGTTTCCAAACCATTACACAGAAACAACAAACTATGGACACTCTTTGATCACCATCTTTCACAAATGGACAACAAATGCATGCCTGGTGGAATCAGGGTGGGATTGCAAAGGTCGCGATGGGAAATGGGGGTAAAAGGGAAACAGGTCCCAATATTAAGCAAAGAGGCCAATTCAACACAAACCCCCCCTTTCCTCTTGTTCTTCGCTGAGAGATGGGGGTAAAACCAAAAACAGGAAATTCCACATTAACACAAGAAAGGGCCAATGTAAACAATCAGATGGATGACACTTGACCCAAGCTCCAGTGATAGAGATGCAGTGGGTTCGCCTTATTCTGGTTACATAAGCATCTCGTTACTGGGCACCCACTTTACTGAGCCTCCCCTCTTCCTTCCTCTGCTAATCTCTCCTCTCCATCCACCACTTATGCGTCCAGAAGGTCACAGGCGAAAGGCACAACCACCAACTGCAGCCAGACGAAATGAACAATCGCACAAGTCACAGTGAGATTTTTTTCGTCTCCTCACTAATCGTTCTCTTCTCTTCTTCCCTCCCACTTTTCCTCTCTGTCTCTTTTTGCTTTGACATCAATCAGACAGATGATGAGAGAGAGAGAGAGAGAGAGAGAGAGAGAGAGTCCCAATAGGGCATCCATGGGAGGCCACACAAGAAGGAGAGTTCAAAGGCAAAAACTGAACCCTGACACAAACAGGCTTTGATATCCAAATATGTCCGTGTGTAACACAAACATTCCCAGAGACACACCAAACACTGCACAGCTTGTGTGTGTGTGTGTGTGTGTGTGTGTGTGTGTGTGTGTGTGTGTGTGTGTGTGTGTGTGTGTGTGTGTGTGTGTGTGTGGAGAGAGTTTGGATTTATTATAGCAGGGTGTATGCCCAGTGATGGCAAACCTTACTATACATGGAGAGAGAAGTGAAACAAAAGAGAGCAGAATGCGCTGATGAGGATACTCTGTCATTTCAGCTTAGCTAATTGATTGCTTCATCTGATGGGAACTGTACAATCTATTTGTTCAAATATTTTCTATGAAATTCTACCTTTACTAGTTAAATGTAGAACATAAGGAAATAACCGAAATGACTTGCTAATATCATGTTTCAAATTTTCCAAAATGCACCTGGTTTAATTGTCAAAGCATTAGACTGCTAATGACCTCGTTAATTTTGTCAATTTTCATTAAATTTACTTATAAAAGCTACACGTTTTTAGTTTTGTCATTTAAATGATACTGTCAATGATCATATTAAAGTAAGACTGTAAGTTGACATTAATACAGTTACTACCTCTGGTTACTACGTGTAGCAACAAAGCAGGCCATGAGTATGGACACTTAACAACAGTTAGCAAACATACACAAGCTAGCTAATCAGACGTCACAATTGTTTTTGCTGCAGGTGTGATCTTAATACTTCGCAGCTTTTTTATTTTTTATTTCCCTGCAACTTTTCTAAACTTAACAAAAGCCAACACGTAAAGAATATGTGAAAGAAACTCACTTTGTGGGCAACATTCTTGTGTCTGGTAGGAAACCCGGTCCCCAAACTCACGAGAAGTATCGACCAAATCACGAGCAGCGTGTGAAGTCTCCTCGCGACCCCTGGAAGCATCTTCAAAGCTTCCTGTGTAGATTTGCTAAAGTAGCCTACTTTTTCTTAAACTATCCTCCCTAAAAAGCAGGGAAAAATGAAGTTCTTCTTGCTCAGCCTCCGTTTGTCAGCAACCTTGACTCGGGACAAATGAAGTTTTGTGTGGAAGTGTCGCACTTTATGAAGATGCGCACCAGCGTCCGGAGGTATCCCGCTCGCTATCCATATCTGGCACCAGCGCCTCGTGCAGCAACTGTACGGACAGCAGTCAGTCCGTATGGCGGCTCGAGCCCAACGATTCCCTTCCCCATAAAACCCACAGTTGGTCGAGTTTTAAGTACCAGAAAGAAGTTAAATACCCCACGCAGAATCTATCCGTCCGCACCGGCGCTCGCTTATTCAACTACTTAAAACTGTGAGTCACTCCATCGTGGGTGGGTGGGTGTTTTCTTCCAATACATTGACATCTGGAGTTGCTGTGCGTTGTTTTTTGCTATCTGTCTGATGCGTTAATCCATTATCCAGATGAAGTTCATCCGCCGGTTCGAGTGGATGTGTTTGTGTGCGCACAGCCCAGCCAACCGGTTTCGGTAAACTTGCCTTTTACGCACGCATTCAGAAGGTGAGGGAGATGGGGGTGGGAGGCTTATTGCTCACAGCTGTGTGGAGGGGGTGCGCTGGGCCACTGAGGTTCTTGATAAGGTACAAGGTTTAGTTCACATTGAACCTACAGCAGGCTGCAGGACATGGAGCTACAGGGCATGGAGTGGGGGGAAAAGTACATTTCATCAAATGCTTATACTACTATAGGGAGTTTTAAAGTGAAATATACATTGATTAATAATTTTACTGGAATCATAATCATCTAAATTACATGGTATTCTCTCTAGGCTTGTTTTGCCATTTTCAAAAACCAGCCAGCCCATCGGCATCCATTTCTATAAAAACACAATTTGTAGACATGAGGGAATGGCTGACCAAGGTGGAAGGCTGGGTAATGGCAGGATGTCAGTGACTTATCAGTCATATAGGCTTTCAAACAGTTGTTTGTCACAAGCTTTTAAGTTGTGACATAACTCCGTGTGTGTGTGCATGCTGTAAATAAACACAAACCCATTCCAGAACTTGATACAAAGAAAGTGATTTAATCTTCGCAGCCCTGTTTCCAACAGCATGGTCAACAAACATCATGGTTTTGCAAACTCTTCTAAGTGGTTTATCTTCAACCCATATACAATTCCAAGGGCAAAAGCAACTGATAAGCATGTTTGCAGCGGTCAATGCAGGTCAGTTCGCAGGTATTTGTGGAAGGCAGGCGGGAAACATTACATCAAAGAGTTCCAAACATTTTTATAAACTCTCTCGAGTTCAATTCCTCAGTTTCAATGAGGGAAACCTGGCTGAGAGAAACATTCACGTTGCTGGTTGCAATTACAATTGTGCCTCCATAGGCAGAAATGTAGAGACTTAACATGCTGCATAGTGCTTCAGACAGCTTGAGAGGAAACTTTGACGATTTTTTTTTATTATGTCAGAGCATATTTCTGAAGAGTGCAATTCCAGATCATAGTCATGTGTTCCACCTTTTATATTATATTTATTAAAAGCATCACAGAGTCATTATTTCAAGACATTGTCTGTGGAAATAAAACAACAGCAATGTTGGAATGAATTGAATTTACAGTAAAAAAGAAACCCCAAACAGTTAGCATGCTGTGCTAAAATGCCACAAAACATCAACTCAAGCTTGTTTAAACTTGATTTGAGTTGTATCACTTTGATGAACATATGTAGGAATGGTCACATAGCCAGGCGATGACCAGCTTTCTGACTGGCTTCACTCCAATTCACATCAATTTAGTGGTAGAACATAAAAAACGCACATGAACAGTGGCATGTGCGCCATGTTTGGGGTGACCTCACACAAGAAAAGTCAGACAAAAACTTAAAACACTTGACACTAAAAGCAGGTTGAAATGGAATGTCATTCCAGAAGACGAAGCAAAGACAATGACATTTGAAGCATAGTTCCATATCTTCCAGTGACTACTTCATCTGTGCATTCACAATGCCTATCAGTAGTGCTGGCACCGAAGATAAGAAGTATCAGTTTAAACGCACACTAAGACACATTTGGAGCTGCCTTCCGGATAAAAACCTTTTTTTTCCTTCACAAAAATAAGATGATTAAGACATTTCAAAATAAATAAAGCGATCTATAAGTCAGACGGGCATGGCTGCATCGTCGTCATACATACAGATCTAAGTCACAGCGAGGCAATGTGCTCTGCGCCGATTCACATGAAAGCACTTGAGTGAGAAGGATTTTTTTTAAATAAATCACACGTGTAGCTAATTAGCTTACAGAAATGTTAAAGACACTGGGCCTTTGAGTGCAGGTGTAAACAGTAAATAAGGCTTACACATATTTGTAGGAAATAAGCAGTAAAAATGATCCTTACTCCTGCTCCCCTGGGATTCTTCCCCTGTTTAATATTTTCTTGTGGGACATCTGCATTGCATTTCTAAGAGAAAAAGGTACGAAACATATCTATACATATACATCCTTTTTGGTTAGGGAAAGAACCCCGATATTCTATACTCTCTTCAAGTAAAAGTAGAAAAAGAAGCCTTTTAGATAAATACATATGGAGTACATGTGCTAATGTTACTCCTTCATTATTTTGTGTATCTCTTTGAGGTCTGGGATGCCACCCTAAGGCAGCATTGCCAACATGGGGATAAATAATATTTACACATATATATTTTTTCCTCTTGTGTTCATCGTAGCATTAGCTATGATTAGTTTTTTCTTTTTCCAAGTGCACGAGTATGAAATCGTGACATATATCGATGTACTTGTTTGATAACAAATATATTCCTAGTTATTATTGCACAAATCAGACACATTCAATGTGCACACAGTTATAAGACTTGACGTTGTGGTCAAAAACAAGTTAGGAGGGACATACAGTTCACAAACTGCACGCATGCTATCGAGTGATGCTAATGTGCATGTTTTTAAGCGACCTATTGAGACTTAGGTTCTGGCGAGCCCATTGGAGTGGGATGTGAGGTGATATGGCCCAGTAGAGGTTGAGAGACTGGCTCAGAGGAAGATCAGTGATATCAGGCAAGAAAATATGAAGTAAGGGAGGAACAGTAAAGTTGGGTGGAGGGAAGCGAGAGGATGTGGCTCAATCCTGAAACAGGTTTTCTTCGGACATCCATCCAAGCGAGGGACGAGGCTGCTCACGTCTGGAGTACTTCAGCTGCAGTAGGTCGCCCACTTCATTAGCGGCATCCAGCGCCTTGTTAAAAAACACAGGAAGAACGCTATTAGTCTCAATCCAAAACGACATGTATGATATCAATCAAATTGCCAGAAATATGTCAATATGAGCAGATTACATGCATAGCTTAACAACTTGATAAATGATGTGATAAGCCTTAATCGCACTAAACATGTCGAAGAGGGGGTTCCAAAAGCAAAAGGTGAACAGAAGGCGTTGCGTAAAACCACAACTGAACAGAAACTCCTCCACGTCTTTCCACAAGAGACTGCATGAAGCATTGCAACACTGCAGGGCACCTGGAAACAATTTACCTTCCTCCTGACCTTTTTTTCTTTTATTTTCTGATCCCATACTTTGGAACAGGCGACCCTGGCTATTCCTCAAAGACGGAAAAAGCGGCTCCTTCGAGGGCTCTACAAAGGCAGGCTGATGCCCTTTAAATGGACTATTACAAACGGTGTTGACACGCTCCTCAGTAAGATGAATGAAGTGTCTTCGGAGAGACAGAGCAGCTCGTATAAAAGTCTCCGTCTGAGCGCACGCCGTAATACTCGGAGACAGCTTGGCATTCTAAGTTCCTTTATAATAAAGGACACATTGGAGAGCCATAATTATTCAACAGGCACACTTTAAGTATGTGGGCAGACGCACACAAGTATATAGAAACATGTCAGCCAGCAGGCAGATCTGATGATAGACAGCTGAGAACTCAAACTGTTAAATCCTTTAGAAGATGATCAGAGGTTTTTTTCTTTAAGGCTTTGATGATAAATAAAGGTAAAACTGCAGTTGTATAAACAAATTCAGAACATAGAGCCCATACTGTACAAGAAACACGTTTTATTCATCTCCCCCGAACAAGTGATCATCCTTCTGATGCATTTATTAGATGAAGGAGCAAATGCAAAGCAATTTGGCAGATAATGCTGACGTGCTAATAGCCATTTTAAAGTTATTTTCAAGCTAATTATGAAGTTGTTTTGTTCCAAACGGCAAGTGGAAACTTTCTGCACCATTTTAGATTAAATGCGGCCCCTTTAATGGGAACACATCTGAGAAAAACCCTCTGCAATAAGTGGAAGAATGCAAGAAAATGTAAAAAGAACTGCAGATTATATGACCCATGATCAGCCACAGACCATTGTAGTCATAAAAAAAGATATAATCTATGGGTATATATACTGGAAGTTTCTGCTACAAATTAAATTGTTATAAAATAAATTAAACTTCATTTTTGCATGACTTTGGATTTTTTAAAGCCTGAAATAGTCTAATAGCACAAAATATGCTACACTGTAAGACTTTCAAGGTTTCAAACTGTCCTCCACCAAAGACCTAGATCTAGCCAGATAGTTCTATATATATATTTTTTTTAAATGGGCCAAAAGTGCATTACGGTAAATTCTCGCTAAATACATCTCAAATGTTCGTAGAAGAAGTACACCATTTTGTCTTTTACGAATCGTTTCTATATGTTTTTTGTTTGGGGAAGTGTTATTTAAGGACTCACTGTGTCTAGCATTTCTCTGGTATGGGCGGCAGAAAGGCAGAAGCGCGCCCTCGACTCGATGATGGGTGTCGCTGGGAATCCGACGACCACCGTGCCGATGTTTCTCTTCAACATCTCCCGACCAAACGCCCTGAGAAGCAACGACAACATTAGGCAAATCCAACTTATGACGTGACCCATCGCCGCCATTCCCACATCTTAAATCATAAGCAGTTTTCCACACATTGGGTCAGATTCTATTTAGAAAAGGGACAACAGCACGGAAAGTCATTAAAATTAAACCATTATGTCTTTTCCAAATGTGAACTAATTGGAAATATTAGCCAGAATAGCCACCTTTTTGTGTGAAGCAAGGAAAATATACCAAATATTATGAAACTGAAGAGAATCCCATACCCTATTTTGGCAGGCATGTAAAGCATCAAGGGGATTACAGGCGAGTCGTCGTTGCCGTAGATGATGAAGCCCATTTCGCAGAGTCTTCTGCGGAAGTAGGTGGTGTTCTCTGAAAGCTGTCTGAGGCGGTCAGCACCTGGGAAGATAAACAGAGAGAACATTCATACATCTTTTATTAAGATCATTTTGTTACTCAACGCACACTTGGATGGACAAAAGTTTAAGGCACCTTGTTGTGGGAAGTTTCAATAAGGAACTACTTTTTTCTTTCTACTGGAGTAAAACCAAGCAACCATACCACAAGACAGGTGTAGTTTGTCATTTGAAAAAAACCTCCAACTCTTAATAACTAGCACTGGTACAAGGAAAAATGTGCATTATTGATTTTGGGGTGAAATTTCCCTTTAAATGACTAAAGAAACCAAAAGAGGGGTGGTGTCATGATGACCTTAACCCTAACTGGGTAGTTAGCATTGCAATGGCTACCTCGAAAAAAAGCAACAGGATTTTTCTATTAGCTTTCTGAATATTTCAGAAAATAAGATTTGTGGCAAATACCTTTGTTACTTATACATTTTGTTCAGCAGGGTACTTTCCACATATTAACGTATTATTGTAGGATTTTTAAAAGCTTTATTGCTTCAGGAGTAAAAAGCTAACGTTAGGCTACACTCAACAAATTAAACATTGACTTTAATTAAATGTATTATGTCAACGGTTTCCACACAATTTGATTAGGTTGGTTGAAACCAATTCTATTAAGTTGAAGCTATTGTGTTTTTATTTAAACTTAATATTATTGCTTTCACCTAACCTAATACAATTATTTAAGTGAAATGTATTTCAGTGTATAAACAAACTACATCAGAGTTGCATGGCTTCGTGTCGTCACCGCTAAGCTAAAGGCGGCTATTGTTTGGCATGACAACAAAACTGGAAGTGGTCAAATTCTAACTCATTTCCATGTTTAAGGACTCATTCCTGCACCACGTTACTATCTCGTCTAAAAAGATGTTGTGGCAACATACATCTTTTACATATTTAACAGCATGGCCTTGTTTTCACTCAGTCATTTCCAGGTTTTAAGAATGATTCCTGCATGACTCTATAGGTCTTAATGTTGAACGCCGACCATACTTTACTTTAACTGTGGCTTGACACCTTAGTGAAGACTATATTTCCGACTGCTGAGAAAAACTATAGTAAAAAGGTTGTTCTGTTGTAATTAAACAACCGTGATAATGAGTATCTACCGGTAACTTCTTTGATTAAAGACCCTTCTCACCCTGGGGCCCCACGCAGGTGTTTTCACTTCATTACCCTGATTACACTTCTCGTCATCATCATTCCTGATTGGCGTTTTCCTCACTCTCCTGTTGCACGTTATTAGAACATGTGGTGACCGCACGCAGTGCCAGGCAACCTGTCCAGAGGCCTAATCAGCCAAAAATAAGTGAAAACACCTGTGGGGGTGTTCACGTCCCGCAACATTATTTTTAGGTATTCATATCCTTTTGGCTTGAACACTTGATTAAACTGGATTATCAGCTCTTGATCAGAGGTCAAGTGCAGGATTTTCCAACATTGGTGATTTCTGTATACTTCTATTGAGCCTCCTTTTAATTTGAAGGAATTGAATATCATCATTTTAATAAAACAAGGCGGAGGAAGTTCAGTAAGTCAACCAAACAACTTATATATATAAAAATATCAACTTCAATATTAATATTGCAATGAAAATGCAGGGTTGATTATTGGTGCTTTCATAACATTTGAAAACAATGAGATTTTTGTAATTACTCATTATAATGACTTTGTGGGAAAAGACAAATAATATAATCTGAAAACGACATCACTTTACTGTAATACAGTGTTTAAAACCAGGAAAATATCAAATGTATGCGATATTAGAATATAATGATTTTCAAAATCTAAGACGATATCTAGTCTCAAATCCCAATATTGATATATTATCGATATATAACTGCTCTTTTGTTCCTAAAAGCATGATGTTTTCCATCAAAGTAAAAATGGATTTGATCATATTACACTTATTTAGAGAACGCTACAGTTCTCGCCTTTGAAGATGACCAGGATTTTTTAAGGCCGAGGTCAAGGGGGCTAAAACGAAAGGAGCATTAATCCTCTCAGACTGATGCACACTCACTTGCATCCTCAGACTGAGCCTACACTGATAGCATCTTAACCAAACAAATAAACCATATGGCAGAGAGCGCCAACAGCAACGCACATCTGCCTGGCCGTGCTGAAAAACAGCAGAAACACGGCGGCTTCAAAGCATCCCCGAGACACAACAGAGTCTGACATTATATTCATGCAGACATTCTTTTTCCACACTCCAGAAATCCCAAGCTATTCTCAGCAATGTTGGCGAAAGACAGAGCAGCATATAATATTCAGACAAAGTGCTCTTAAGGATTCTTATTAAAGAAAGCTTTGGCCCTTATGGCTCATCTACATGTTTGATTGATGTGAGCTTCAAACAACAAATGTCCATCTTGATGCAGGCCTGAGCCGCCAACAATAAGCAGCCGTCCTCAGCTACAAACCGCTAGCAGGCAGCTCAACTGTCACTTTGACTTTACGTCAGTGTCTGAAGCTTCAAAGGCCTGCATTTCAAACAGTGATAGGGCTGCAACCAATCACACTGTCATTGTTAGTCTTCTACAAGGAAAAGTTGTCAGGTTGGGATTTGATGTAAGGTCTCGAAATAGTTTGGAGAAAGGCTTGATGACATTGCGGAACACTCTAAAGGTTGCTCCAGTTGTTTATTCCTGTGCTTAATGATTGAATGACCAGGGAACGAGGTAATCTGATCTCCTTAAGTCGGCATGTTTAAGGGAGGCTGCATCAATCAGGCCCCCGTAAAGAGTAAAAGGGGGAGCCGACCTGCAAGAAAAACACGACTTCAGTGACCTGTTTGTGTGTGTAGGGGATGAGTCCAGCAGAGTTTGATCTGCACGGATCTCTGGCCCTGAGCACCACGCTGCTTTGTACCCAGCATGGAGGCAAAGAAACGCACATCTGAAAGCCATAAAGGCAGAGGGTGGAAGTCAACATACCAACACTTCAAGACCTTACATCAGCCTGGGCAGACTCGGACAAGAGGAAAGGAACTGTCCACACATCAGTGTTGAAAATGAACATCCTGCTGTACAGAGAGACCAATGCTTATCCAACTTGTTTTAGCCAAACAGCGTTGAGAAGACACAGACAGGCTGGAAAATAACCTGGAACTTTTCTGAGCAACTCTTCCCAAAAGTAGTCCCTTTAAAATCTGATGTAACCAAGTCAAACTTTTAGAAGATATTAAATTATCAAAACAACTAATAGAGGATTATGTGACGTGTCTAATTCCACCCCCTTGGCATTTACTTTATCTAGAATGGGTTCACACATGCCATAGAGTTTGATAAGGCCTGTATTTACTAGTAAATAATTGCCAGTTGGCCATAGATAGTAGCCTTTATCTCTTGGCAGGGAATGGAACATTTCCAAGGTAAACAAGCACGCTGAGTATCAAGGAGTCAAAGTACAAAAGGTGCCAAAGCTGAACACCATCTGTCAGGAAGGCATGTGCTACAGCCTGGTTTAGAGGAGTGAATGAAACACAGGCCTCTACTGCCATCGTGTGGTCGATGATGGAAAGTAATGCAGGTAAAAACAGTACTGAGCAAATGCAATCTCATTTAAAACACGAGTGACTTATAAAGCTTGCAAATTACAGAATTGCTGAATCAACAAGGGAAAATAATAAGCAAGAAAAGATTGCAATTATACTTGTTCTGTGTGTTTCACGAGCTAATTACCTTCTGTAAGGTAAAAGGTGTGCATAGTCCAAATATCTTTTTAGACCGGATAGTAAAATAGTGGTGCAGGAATGAGTCCCAGGAACCCGGGAAATAGCCGAACACTAGCCATCTTTAGCTTAACTAGATGTAGGCCCATTCCCAAACCGCCCCCTACACCCTACCCCTCCGTTTGCGCGTTCACGCGGAGGGTCCGCCATATTGAGGGCTGTTCCAAAGCAATGAGTGTGGAGCGGTGGGGAGGGGGAGTGGGCTGTCAAGCCCT